GTGGTGATGAAATCCGCCACCATGATGATGCCCGAAATGGTCACCGTGGTGTCCACCATGATGTCCACCATGGTGCCCGTGTCCACCATGGTGGCCGCCTCCATGATGACCTCCATGACCTCCGCCTCCGTGGCCTCCATGGCCACCACCTCCGTGGCCACCACCTCCATGGCCACCGCCTCCATGACCTGAAACAGTCCATTTCCACAACTTGGTAGCTTTTCTTTTCTTATCAGCTAAGCTCTTGAAAGAAACATGATTTATCCTACTATTTCAGCAATCACTAATCGCTCCGACAGTAGTCTCGACCGTTGTATTCAAGCCTTTATAGATCTAGCCCACTTACTGCGGCTGACTCTTATGAGCATTGCGCTCAATACAGTTCAAAGATGTCTCACCTCCTCCACCGCCTCCATGTTGAGCTGAAATAGAAGCAAATATAACTACACTAATATTTATTATATTTGATATAATATTTATATTTTATCCAATAATTGCAGACTCTGATCACTCACTAAAATCTGGGGCTGAAAGAATCTATTATATTTCGCGCAAAGGCATGATAAATGGATGGTCGTTCCTAAGAAGTTCCCAGTCTTCGTCGTCCTATGCACTGGGTGGAGATGTCGAGGGAAAAAACTTGGAAAGAAATTTCAAGCTGAAAATTTTGAGCATCGGTAGAATAAGGGCGGAGGTGATGCAGTGCAAGTACCGCCCTACCTCCCATGCTTCCTAAGGGTTATGGATGGTTCCCGCTTATGCAAGAAAACTTCCATCTCCAGGAGGCCGGGAAAACGGGCACGAGACACTTTTCGAAGAAACAGGGCACATCATTGGTTGGGGATTTTAGTCGAGTCCGTACGACCCCTCACTCTTTTAGAGGGTTGGTACGACCTTTCCAACGTCCCTTAACCCCTTCTCTCCCGCCCCTCCGGCACCTCCTGTCCGTTCTTGTCTCTCGCCCAATCGAATGAGCGCCGAGGCGGGAGGGGCGGGGGGGGGGAGAGTAAATATGTAGCACATGTGAAACAGGAAATGCCGCGAGAAAGACGATCCCCCCTCCCAAAAAAGTCAACCACCGCTCTTACGACGCCGAAACGTAAATACGACCCCCTCCCAACAATGACCAAGTACGACCCCCCCTTTACAACGTCCGTGAAGCGAGAAAAATCAACTATCAAAATAAATTTTTTCCAGCCCAAATACGACCCCCCCCTGTTGGGGATTCCCCAACAACGATGTGCCCTGCGAAGAAAATATTGAGTTAAGCCTAGCACAGAGAGGTCATAGTAAAGGCCATAGTCTACCGGGGTTCAAAACGTCAAAATGGCAAGCATGCACGGAGGAAGGCGCATCCCAAAAGGATTGATCTCTGCCAAAGGCATCACCTCCTAAATGTGCCATGTTCATGGCACATGGTCAGTTCTTCTGACTACCTGACGATACGATCTTGGCAAAAGCCTACGAGGTTCTGGCAAAGAGCCTGAGAGCAGCCGTGACACTGAAGCGTTCGAGGCGTCAAAAGATTTTTGGGTTCAAGCCAGGTAACATGCCAGAGATTCGAAATCTTTATTTTTGAGAAGTAACGGAAGACAGAGCCCAGCAACCAAGGTGCAAAAGGGCGGGGTCGAAAGAGAAACGCAAAAAAATATGAGACACAACTCTCCGAATAACCTAGTATGTGTGAAAGTAATAAGCCGGTGCGCAGGTGCAGCAGAGGTCCGTAAAATGCCGAGACTTAGGAGAAAACATGCGCTTGCAAACGAGATTGCGTGTGAACGGGCGTGGACTGGAGTGCAGCTAGGGGAGCTCTTGCACCAGTTGATGTCATCCTCAGCCCACGACGATCGGTGGAAAAAGCTTCCCTGGCCGCGATCCAACCAACGCTACTTTGGCCCAAAGAAGAAGAAAATACACGAAAAGCTATCGAGAAAAATCAGGTGGCTCGTTTGCCTCCTATCCAGTGCGAACCTGTGAATATTGTTTGACCTACGAAGTTCTCAAGTTATGCGTTTGAAAACAGTGAACGACGACAATTTAGCCACGGCATAATTTATCGCAAACCAAACTAGACCACAAAAAGTACAAGACCCTTTACCGATATTTAAACGAAATTGCCAGGAAAAATGAACCTTGGGTCAGCGTCAATAAATAGGCAGATAACCAGCGAGATAATAATAAGCGCAGTGCACCGCATTTGTAGTTCGTCAGTGTAGTGACTGCTGCGGCGACTCTGACGGTTTTTTTATCAGAAACCGGGTCATGCGATTTTACCACCTGTTTTACGGAAGTTAAAAAAGTCCCGGAGAATTCGCCGAACATCAGGCAAAAAAAGGAGGAGTTATTTGTGAGAGATAAATGCATTCACAGACGGTGCAGTACATCGGAGGCGCCCAGATATCCGCAAGCTCCTTTTTGTGTGAACAAAGGATACGGTTTACCGTACCACGATTATTATATACGCGACCACGACACTTACAGACATACTTAGCGGCGAAGTAGTTGGATTACCTATCAATTAAATCTACCTATCAATACGGTAACAGATTGATCAGCTAAAGACGACTGGATAGTCTATTAAGGGACACTATATTGTAATGCGTCTATCTTATTTCTTCTGTGCAAGGCATTCTTGACTCACACGATTCAGATCGCCGCATATCAGTGGTCTTTATTCACAGCATCAAGGCTGATTGGAAAAACGTTCACTTTGTTGCGACGTGAAATTTATTTATTTTCAATGGACGTGCACTACTGCATGTAAGCTAAAAAGTGGGTTTAAGTAAATCACCACGTGGTCCTATGAAAGTACAGAAGTTTTACGTGATAAATTTACCGCGCGAAAACGAATTCAAGCTAGTACGCACTTTGTTGCGAAACGGAGACTGATTGTGAGTTGGAATTGAGCGACGCGGATGAAAGCTTAGCTGAGGCTCCGCTGGAACTAGAATGAACAATGACGAGAAACGTGGAAGCATCCATTGTGGTCAATCCATGTGGATTTCTGGAAGCCATATGGAGATGAAGTCATTTAGTTTTCGAAAACGAGATTCAAAGCCCAACTGTTCGCTACGCTCAGTTCCAGAAGGTATATGGGAGTAATTCAAATGAAGCAGCGGAGCATGAGCTTACGAGTGAAGCTGTTCTGGACTTCCACCAGCGATGTCTTCGGCGAATCATGAAGATACGATACATGGACCGGGTCACGAATGAAGAAGTTCTACGACGGTGCGGTATGAGCAGCCTTCACGTGATTGTGGCACGGCGTAGGCTTCGACTGGCTGGCCACATATTGCGCATGCCACAACATCGAATCCCAAGAGTGGCCATGCGAGCACGAGGCCGTCC